CTGTCCCTCCGACGCTGGCGTGGATCCAGCCAAGACGTATCCTCCTCAGAGTCCGACACACCTGGCTCCTGGCCAATCCCAGAAGCACCTGGCTCCTGGCCGATCTCCTCTCCGTCGGAAGACACCGAAGGCCGCACCAGAGGGGAAGGTCCTGGAGAGGGAGGCCTGGCCATCTCCTCTCCTTCATGTTCAGAGCCTTCCTCCTCCGATGATAGGGACCCACAGGACGGAGCCACAACAGGCAAATTCTCCTTGTCTTGTGGAGCTTTTGCAGCCCCAGAAGTCTCAGATTTATCTCTCAGGGAAGGTTTTAATAACTAACGGCTGGAGGAGCAGCTGTCAACGCCTGAAGCAACCTCATCTATTCGAGCACCTTTAGGGGTGTTTATTTATTTGTTTATTTTTAGGATCCATAAGGCTGTCCAGCGCTGGGTGCTGTACTGCACAAAAGCAGTAAAAATGAATCAAAAAAGAAAAAATATATATAATAACAATAAATGTAAAATGTTGACCAAGCAGGTAGCAAAGCTACCTCAAGGAGACCCCCCACTCAACCAGCTTCTAATGCCAGGGAAAAGCAGGTTTGAACGGGTTTCCTCAACAGGAGAAGAGTTGGGGGCCTGTTGTAGATTTGTGACAATCACAAAAAAGACATACTTTCCTGGTCTCATAAGATGACAAGATTTAAAAGGAGGAATCTGGAGCGTGGCCTCCTGCTGGGAGTGCGCAGGATGGGCAGGTTTTCTTGGGAGAAGGTAGACCCTCAAGTGACTCAGTCTTATCCAGATAGTCCTCGACTTATAACCATTTGTTTAGTGACCATTCAAAGTTGTAACAGTACCGAAAAAAGCGACCTACGACCGTTGCAGCATCCCCAGGGTCACGTGATCAAGATTTGGATGCTTGGCAAGTGGCTCGTATTTAGGACGGTCGCGGTGTCCTGGGGTCACGTGACCCCCTTTTGCGACCTTTTGACAAGCAAAGTCGATGGAGAAGTCAGGTTCACTCAACAACCGTGTTACTAACTTAACAACTGTGGTGATTCACTTAACAACTGAGGCATGAAAAGTTAGAAATGGGGCAAAGCTCACTTAAAGAATGTCTTGCTTAACAACATAAATTTTGGGGTTGAACCTTTAGGACAGCCGGGATTGCTTTATGGGCCATAAAACACCCATTCTGTGGCTCATAAAACAACCAATTGTTGAATGGTCGTAATGCAACCAGCTGTTAAGCGAGGACTATCTGCACTGTCCTTGCTGTCTTTATTGTGCCCTGCAATAGGATGCTTGACATCCTGCTTATAGGAAAGAGAAAGGAGAAATTAGCCGATTCTCACTTCTCTGACTTATTTATTATGCTTCTATCCCTTTCTCTCTGCCTTGAAAAATCTCCTAACCAAGCACTGCTTAGCACAAAGTCTGCAATTTATATCCAAGGTCCAACCCCCCCCCCCCTCTTCTTTCTTCAAAAGAAAAATCGGAAGCCCATCAATTTGACATTGGCCTATAATTAAACCTGAGTTATTGGGGCTTGCTATAATTTGCTGTACATAATTATTTCCCTCCTGCAATCCTTGCACTCAGGTTTAGATTGGATGATAATTTATGGTGGTTGGCTATATTGTTGGTTATATGGATTTCACCTATAGATCATGGATGGGCAGCCTCTTACACAGAGGGGTAGCCCAATGATTTTGGGAAATACAAGGGCTTGTAAAGGGGTTGTAAAGGAATATGTCATGTGTGGTTGGAGTCAAGATTTGGCATTCTTCCTTAGATTGTAGAGGGGAGTTTGAGGGTGCCCAGAAGACTTTAAAGCAGGGGTAGTCAACCTGCCATGCTGGCTCAGGAATTCTGGGAATTGAAGTCCACGAGTCATAAAAGAGCCAAGGTTGACTACCCCTGCTTTAAAGTTTAAAGTATATTAAACCTTTGTGGAATGAGCACTACGGTTGCCTTGTTCTCCATCTCAAAACAGCGGAAATTGTGCTGCTGATTCTCAGGCATTCTGTCCCAAGAGAGCTTTGAGGACCACGAAGTTCATCAGAACCTCGGGTGAAGCCAGCCTTCCCCATTCACACCTGCTTCGTATATAGGACGCCAAGTTAGCTCTTTTTAGCATGCTGTGGGCCCTTACCTGCAGCCCCTGCTCCTCCTTCAGAGCCAGTCAGGCAGGAGGTGATGAGTAACCAACTAAGGAGAAACTTCCCTGACAGTTAGAACAATTAACCAGTGGAACCACCTGCCTCCAGAAGCGGTGAAGGCTCCAACACTGGAAGTGTTTAAGAAGAGACTGGACATCCATTTGTCCAAAATGGTATAGGGTTTCCTGCCTGAGCAGGGGGTTGGGCTAGATGACCTCCAAGGTCCCTTCCAACTTTACTACTACTACTACTACTACTACTACTACTACTACTACTACTACTACTACTATTATTATTATTATTATTATTATTATTATTATTATTATTATTATTATTATTACTGCTGCTACTCTTGCGCAGGAGGAAGAACGGCAGCTGCTGAAGCTGGAGAAGGAACAGGCTGAGATAGCCCGGCGGCAGAAACTGAGAGAGTGCAGAGACATGTTGTTGGACTCCATGAAGAAGAAAGCCAGGCGCCTCAGTGAGGAGAGGCAGGACGAGCTGGCCTTGGAAATGAAGATCCTGGATCACGTCCTGCAAGAATCCCTGGAGGACACCGAGAGCCAGAAACAAAGGAAGGTAAAGAAGCCAAGAGGGAACCTGGATGTGGGCTTAATGATATATTATGCAAGATTATCCATCCATCCATCCATCCATCCATCCATCCATCCATCTATCTATCTGTCTATCTATCTATCTATCTATCTATCTATCTATCTATCTATCTATCTATCTATCTATCTATCTCGCTATCTAGTGACTATATTTATCTTTATCTACTTATCTAGTGATCATCAATATCTACTATCAATCATCATCTATCTCTATTCTATCATTCTCTCTCAACTATTGTCTATCATCTATTATCTGTCATCTGTCATCTACCTTCATTTCTATCATGTCTTGTTATCTACTGACTATATCTATTTATCTCTATCTACTTATCTATCTAGTGATCATCTATCAATATCTATCAATCATTTATCATCTAGCTATATCTATATCTATTCTATTCTATCCTATCTATCTATCTATCTATCTATCTATCTATCTATCTATCTATCCATCTATCTATCTATCTATCTATCTGTCCGTCTATCTATCCGTCCGTCCATCCATCCATCCATCCATCCATCCATCCATCCATCCATCCATCCATCTATCTATCAACATCCAGTTCAAGAATCCGAAGTTTCATCCTTGACACTACTTTTCTATCTACTTATCTATCTAGTGATCATCTATCAATCTCTATCTACTTACTATCAATCATTTATTATCTACTCTATCTGTCTGTCTGTCTGTCATCTACCTACTTACTATCCATCCATCCTACTCCCACATGACCCTGTAGCCACAATTGGAAGAGTGATTTGTGCTGTTGGAGCTACAGTGCCACTAAGTTGGGAGATACGTTCGTACTTGAAGCTTTGAAGATTGTTGCATTACACAAAGGCATATCTGGGGGGAAAATGGTGGAACATAAGTTGTATCCATACACGATCCCTTCTTCCAAATGGAATGTTCCTTTTTAACTGTGTAGTTTTTTCATCTTTTTCCCTTTCCCCTTTGTTTTGGGTAAGGAGGGCAGTACTGTTGTGGAAGCACGGTTTGAGTTTGGTGAGGCCAGGCCCTTGCATAAAAACAGACCTCACGGGGGGGGGGGGGACCGTGTGCGCGCCTGCTGTGGGATAGGCCATGCCAGGGCTTTTCAGACTCCCTGGCCTCAAGCAGGCTTTCCTGTCAACGGCTACATTTCCTCGGCAGGTGGGCTGAATGGGCAGATGGGGGCCTGAAAGAGTCTCCTCAGCTCCTGAAGTTATGTAGCTGTAGGAAAATGTATTTCAGTTTGCTAGTTATGAGATATGGTCTTCCAAGAGGATAAAAGTAAAGAAGGGGATGGAAAAATGGTCAGAATTCCAGAACTTGCAGCTTTTCAGCAGGGATGTTATCATGTAATCCCTAGAAGGTTCTGCCATGAGCAGCAATTATTATTATTATTATTATTATTATTATTATTATTATTATTATTATTATTATTATTATTATTATTATTATTATTATTATTATTATTATTATTATTATTGATTGTCACACAGTCAGCAAGATGTTCAGACTGGATCTGGCATTTTTGTCTACCTATGGAGTCCTTCCCAAGGACCTGGGATAGGCAGATGTGGATGTTTGATGGTATATTACAGATCTCGTCGCAGGATGGAAGCAGTTCCTAGCAAGGCCGCCTTTTGCAATTGACTGATGGCGAATTTGTCAATGCCAATGGTGTTCAAGTGGTTCTTGTTGTTGTTGTTATTATTATTATTATTATTATTTCTTCCTCCTCCTCCTCCCTTCTTTCGCCCCCTCCCTCTTTCCCCCTCTTTCCTTCCTTTTAAAACCTCCCCCCTATTTGCATTTTTCAGAGGGAACTCTTTCAAGAGCAGCAGACGTACCAGGCCTACCTGGCTCAACAGAGGGAAGAGGAGAAACGACAGGAGAAAGAGATGGACCGGTTGCGGGCCGAGGACGCTGCACGGATGTGGGCCAAGAGAGCGGAGAAAGAGCGGGCCCTCAAGCTAGCCAGGGATCGGTTGCTCAGGGAGGTCATGGACACCAGGAAGCTTCAGATTGAGGAGAAGTGTAAGCCGCTGTTGGGGACGACTGATTTCCTGCAAGTCCACTTTCTCTCCCGCGTGCCATCCTTTGGAATGGCTGGGTAGCAATGCCGGAGGTGGAACTCTGGTTTTTGGAAGCGAGAGGGATATTCTGTCCAAAGGGAAGAGGTTTCCGTGAGAAACCATTGCAGATGTTCAAATTAGCTGCATTTGTACATTGTACAGGAGGCGTTCCGTTCCAATTAGCTACTGGGCAGAGTGGAGGGAGGACGGAAACCCCCCTGCAAATTCAGCCAAGGCTAGAAAACAGTTTCCTTCTCTGTCATAATAAAGATCCTCGGTCGCCCAGAAGTTGCTGAAAAAGCTACCTGGATGAGCAACAAAATGCTTCCAGACCGCAAGGGAGCCCGCTTTGCCATGGCTCAACTTCCGGTTTCCTTTTGTCTTCTGATCTTATCAGGGCTTCCAACCATTTCACCAGAGGTTATTTATTAAACTGACCGTCCGCTTTTCCTTCAGGAATTGCAGACCGACCCCCTTTACTGGCGGTCCTCGGCTTACAACCTTCTGTTTAGTGACCGCTCGAAGTTAACAACGGCACTGAAAAAAAGTGACCTACGACCGTTTTTCACACTTGTGACCTTTGCAGCAACCCCCCCCCCCACAGTCACCTAATCAAAACTTGGATGCTCGGCAACTGACTCGTATTTACAACGGTCGCAGCATCCCGGGGTCATGTGACCACCTTTTGCCACCTCCTCACAGGCAAAGCCAAAGGGGAAGCCAGACTCAGTTAACAACATATTATTAACTTAACAACTACAGTGATTCAGTTAACAACTATGGTCAGAAAGGTCGTAAAGTGGGGGGGAGAAACTCACTTAATAACTGTCTCGCTTAGCAACAGAAATTTGGGGCTCAATTGCGGTCGTAAGCCGAGGACTACCTATATATTTGAATCAAGGACCCTGCATGGTTCACGGATTGTCTGTTTGTGACATAGTTAAATCTCGTAAGGAGCAAAACTGCCTTGGGAAAGGGGGTGGGGCTGCTGAGCGTGGCTGTCCAATGGGAGCCGTGTTCCGTTTGGACGTTAGCCAATGACCTGTGCCGTCTTCCGCCTCTCAGTGCAGAGAAACGCCCGGGAGCAGGAAGAGCTCCGGCAGGACAAGGAGCTCCTCCAGGCGGCCGTCCAGGAGCACCAGCAGCTGGAGCAGGAGAGCTACACGAGGTAATTGCAGCGGCCCCCTCAGCATGGCTGGCTCTCCCCAGTCGGGGGGGGGGGCTTTCCCAGTACGGGCAGTCCTCGGTTTACAACAGTTCATTTAGTGACCGTTCAAAATTACAGTGGCCCTGAAAAAAGTGACTTCTGACCCTTTTTCACATTTACGACCACGGTATAAGTGTGATCAAAATTCGTACGCTTGGCAACTGGCTCACGTTTATCACAATTGCGGTGTCTCCCGGGGTCACGTGATCCCCTTTTGCAGCCTTCTGACAAGCAAAGTCAAGGGGGGAGCCAGATTCACTTCACAACCGTGTGACTAGCTTAGCAAGTACAGTGATTCACTTAAGAACTGCGGTAAGGTCGTAAAATAGGGCAGAACTCACAGGACAGGTGTCTCGCTTAGCAACAGGAATTTTGAGCTCCATTGTGGTTGTAAGCCGAGGACTACCAAGGCCAGGGGTGGGGAACCTGGGCTCTTTTATGACTGGTGGACTTCAACTCCCAGAATTCCTGAGCCAGCATGGGGGAACTATGGTCCCCTTGATTACGTGTGGACTTCAACTCCCAGAATTCCTGAGCCAGCCGTGCTGAGGGGGAAAGGGAGAGGTTTCCAAGCTGAGCCAGGCTGGCTCAGGAATTCTGGGAGTTGAAGTCCACCAGTCATAAAAGAGCCAAGGTAGCCTACCCCTGACCTAGGCTTTCCCAGGGGCACCTTGAAGGAGAGGCGAGTGACGTCCCGGGGAAGTGATGTCACGAGAGGATGTGATGTCGTTGTGGCTTCTGCTGACTGCCCATGTGCACAGGTTGTCCTCGACTTAAAATCCAATTTGTTTAGCGATGGTTTGGAGTTACAGCAGCATTGAAGAAGCGTCTTAAAACCAGTCCTTGCACTTGCAAGCTCTGCAGCCTCTCCTGGCCCCCTGACCAAAACTCAGGTGATTGGCACCCGGCGTGTCTTTAGGACAGCTGCAGGGCCCCAGGGCCACACGACTGCCCTTGTGGGACTTCCCCAAAGGGCCTCTGACAAGCCAAGTCAATGGGGGAAGCTGAATTTGCGATCCCCAATTGCGATCGTAAGTCGAGGACTATCTAAACTGGAAACCAGTACAGGGTCCGGCTGCAGTTGGGCTCCAAATACTCTGGACCAGGGGTAGGCAACCTTGGCCCTTTTATGACTCGTGGACTTCAACTCCCAGAATTCCTGAGCCAGCATGAAGGAACTATGGCCCCTTCATGACTGGTGGACTTCAACTCCCAGAATTCCTGAGCCAGCATGGAGGGAAACTTTGGTCCCTTCATGACTCGTGGACTTCAACTCCCAGAATTCCTGAGCCAGCTGTGCTGGGGGAAAGAGAGAGGTTTCCAAGCTGAGCCAGGCTGGCTCAGGAATTCTGGGAGTTGAAGTCCACCAGTCATAAAACGGCCTAGGCCTAGGCCACAAGTAGACAGCCTTGGCTCTTTTATGATTCGTGGACTTCAACTCCCAGAATTCCTGAGCCAGGAAGCTGCCAGGCAATCGTAAAAACAGCCCTTGTCTGTCTGCTCCTCCACCGTTCGACATGCCGAGGGCTGAATGTCTTTGCCCTGTGTGTGTTTCCTGCAGGCGTTTTCAGCAGTCCAAACAATACCGGGAAGAACTCCGTGCTCAGATGGATCACCTCAAGGAAACCCGTGAAATGGAGAAGGAGGAGGAGCGCCGCGAATATGCCCTGGCAGAGGAAGCGGAAAGGCTTTATCACCAAAAGTTGGCAGATATCCTTTCCAGACCCTACATGAAGCTGAAATGTCTCCATCCTTTGAGGAGGCAGCTAGTCCTTAACAGTAAGAGTTAGTATTGGTTTCCTACATGGGTATGTAGATGCTGCCCTGAGCCCAGGGATGGAAAGTTTGAAGTAATATCTTCATCATTCCTTTCAGCAGTGTATTACTATTATTATTATTATTTTGTCCAGGCAAAAGCTCCCCCACCACTTTTTTTCTCTTTAAATGTTAAAATAATTATATCTTAAATAAGGTCTTCCAGCACCTAAACCTTCTAGAAATAAATACTAACCTAAAAGAAGAGCTGCTGTAAATCATCTTTAAATCTTGTGTGGGTTTGGCTTTCTAAAGTCTAAATTTGGCATTTTCAAATTGTCCAACCTGATCTATTGCTAATAAATGGTCACTTCGGGAGTGGCATTTACGCAACTCCCTCAGTCATGCTGTGTATCTTGGAAAATCTGGCTTAGCATACTGTGAGAATCCAAGCATTTGCAAAATAAGATTTAGAGCAAATTGTGTCACATGAACAACTCCATTGTGAACTGTTGCTCAGTAACAGGGATCTGCAGAAATCATGTTAATTACATTTGAAGGAATATAAATCTTTGCCCTACAGATTTCTATCTATGGAGTAACAGAGAAATCACAGCAAGTAATGAAAATAATCTGGAAAAGATGTGAACTATCATCTCAACATTCCATCAGATTCTAGAATAGGCAGAACTAAAGCAGTAAGATAAAATGAGCCTGTTAAAGGCAAATGTTAATTTATTCTGAATTTACGTAATATCTGTAAATTCTGTGTGAATTGTGTAGCACTATTCAAATTGATTTTGTCAAGTGGGCAAGCACACCATTTAGAAAATCCGAATACTCATTTGTCTGAATGATGGGAAGGGACGTCCATAAAGTATTGGGTGCAGTCACAGTGCAGAGAGAAATATTGAAACCAATATGATAAAACACAATTCAAAACCATGCTGTCCAAATAAAATGCAGAAAAAAAGATCAGCCTAAAAAAGGTTAAAATAGAAGAATTAAAATAGGAGGTCTTATACTTTTTGCCACAATATTCATGATTCCTAAAGCTCTGAATGAACATCCCAGAGATCTAACAAGACACTAGCAGCCTGTTCCCCTTATATTAAGATTAAATTAATTTCATTTTGAAAAGATTTTTAAAAAGTGAAGACTTTTTTTTTGAAAGCCTTAAGGTATTGCTAGAAAAAAATGTCTGCCAGCTGATTTCCCTAGGAAGGGCTGACAAGTGCCACCAAATGTGTCTATCATTTAGCAGCCCATTTTTAGACTTCAGAATGTAAGGATGCTAAAGGATATGTCTCCAAAGATTATTTCAGGCATCGGGTTTATTTGTTTTATTACGTCTTAACACTTGATAAGTGAGTGTAGCATTGCAGCCTGAAATGGCCTACAACAGTGGTTCTCAACCTTTTTAATGCCGCGACCCCAACCGGTCGTAAGTCGAGGACTAAACCGGTCGTAAGTCGAGGACTAAACCGGTCGTAAGTCGAGGACTACCCAACTGGTCGTAAGTCGAGGACTTTCCCTGCCCGGGAGCGCCGCGCATGCGTGGTTCTGCCCCCTGTGCCGGCTGAGGCGTAGCTGGCAAGCGGCAGAGACGGAGCAGGCTGACCACCAGCTGGCCCAGCCCAAGGGAGGTAAGGCACCCGCCGGAAAAGGGGAAAAAAATGGCGGACAGCCTTGCTTGGCGACCCCCGTGAAATGGTCGATCGACCCCAAATGGGGTCGCGACCCATAGGTTGAGAACCGATGGCCTACAAGAAAATGCATCTGTTAGTGCATCTACTCCGTTACTCTATTAAGTGATTGATTGACCTTGGAATTTAATTTATAGCCGAACCTTCTCAATCTTTTACTATGAAGTTTTATCAGCATTCTTCCCTGTCTGGTTTTCTCAGTTCCAATACTGCAACTGAGAATTATGTGCTGTAAATTACTTCTGCTTCCTACATTTTATATAACCTTCCCCAGTCTGGATCTGTCTAAATAGATTAGGCTGTAATGACAATGTTCTGGTCTTCATAGCCATCGGTTTCGGTGGCTAAGGATGGTGGGAACAGTAATCAAACACACCTTTAGGGCACCAGATGTCAAGATATCCCGCCCCTCTGGACCACAGTCTGGAAAAACAGGTTCATCCTAGTCAAAAATCCACTCTCAACCTAGTCAAAAATCCAACCTAGTCAAAAATCCACATTGGCCTTTTGTCCTTTAAAGCAGGGGTCCTCAACCTTGGCCACTTTAAGACTTGTGGACTTCAACTCTCAGAATTCCTCAGCCAGCTTTGCTGGCTGAGGAATTCTGGGAGTTGAAGTCCACAAGTCTTAAAGCGGCCCAGGTTGGGGACCCCTGCTTTAAACCATTCTAAAATGTGTCTTAATTTTTTACCTCCTGGACCTGTATGTCTAGGGAGATTCTCCGTCCTCCAGGTCCCGGTTGTCCCAAAGGTGCTTTTTCAGGGGGCAACTGGACGTTCTTGTTTTTCTTTGAAGACATTTCGCTTCTCATCCCAGAAGCTCCGTCAGCTCAGAGAACCTCTTGGATGAGAGCTGAAAGACGCTTCTTGGATGAGAAGCAAAACACCTTCACAGAGGAAAAAGACAGTCCAGTTGCCTCCTGGAGAAGCACCCATCCTTCATTGTGTGCTTCATTCTCCTATGGCCAACACTGAAGAGTTCAAATGCACCCTTTTATTCTGTCCTTCCTCTCCAGCAGCTCACCTATTGCTTCGGCAAAATAGGGAAAATCAATTTATTAACAGTTATAAACCTGGGCTGGACATAGTAACTGAACTGACAAGCTTTATACATTTAATAGTTGGAAGTTTTTCTCTTTCCCTCTTTCTATCTGTTTGTGTAGGTGTGTCTACCAAAGACACTTGGTAGTGTTTAATCTGCCCTGTGTGAAAAGGCCAGCCGGGCAGTGAGGGGACGCCCGGGGGAGGGGAGGATATAGGAGGAGGGGTTTTGGCGGGAAAGAGGAGTGGGGGGGAGAGAAGGCGATAGGGAGGAGAGGAGAGGGGCTCCTGTGGGGCAGGCCCAAGAGAGAGGGAGGGAGGGAGGGAGAGAGAGAGGGAGAGAGAGAGAGAG